CAAATGATGGTTTACATTGTTTCATTCTTATTCAAAATCATTTTAGCACATAGAAAAATATTTCATGTCAAAAATGTTCCTTTAAGATGGAAATTTTCCATTAGTGTTTCATGTCAGTAACCATATATATTCAGGAGGCCGAGATACAGAGGATCATGATTCAGAGACAGACCTTGAAAAAATGTCCATGAGACTTCAAAACCAAAATAACTAGTAAAAACTGGTCTGGAGGCATGGCTGAAGTGATGAATAATCAGCTAAGGAAGCAAGCTGAGCAAAGGAGAAGCCATGATTTCAGGCTCCAGTAACTACCAAACAAACAGAAGCTTTCCCTCAACAAATTGAAAATGTTTACTCTTTGTATTTCTGCAGAAAGAATTTCTGGTAGAATGTTGTCTGGCAAAACTATATTTTCTTATAGTTTATTCCAGAAGCTTAGGATTTCCTCTAAAGAAGGCCTTTATCATATAATTGAGAAAACAGTTGAGTCCATACAAGTTTAAAATTTTTGCTGTTCAAGTTTAAGATGTAAATGCTGTCCATTAGATTTCTAGATTTATTTATTCTTAGAGGAGATCAGTGTTTATATTTGGGAATGAATCCATAAAATTTTCAGTCTTTGCTTCTACAAAATGCCCAAATTCTTTGCAGTAGCACATATTTTAAGAACTTCAGTTTGATTTGGGCTGCCACTGAAAAAGACCTAGGAGTTCTTTCAGCTATAAATAAAATAAGTGAGGTTGGTCAAGCAGAAAGCTCTCTTACAGGGAATTGGAAGCCAAGAGGAGGATGGTAAGACTAACTGGAAAATTTGTTAGGGGTGTGTGAAAGGGTTTTTTTATGCCTTTTCCCCAAAGTGGTAGCAAATTTACAAAATAGAATATAAGGCAAATGCTCCAGTTAAGTAGTAAAATGGCACAGCTATAGTCAAGACAATACCTCTTGGCCACTCAGCCAAGTATTACTTCAGATCTGCCCCCCAGTTAGGCTTTCCCATGGTAGTACAGCTAGTCAGATAAAGAAGCAGCTGCTATTTTTCCTAGTACCATTGATTCCTATGGAATCTCCTTTAGTATTAATAATACATTATGCTCTTTATATTCTATCTGGACTCCTTCTCAACTAACACTCCGCATTCAGATTGCAACATCAAAGTCTGTCCTCTCAAAAGACTTTGATCGGTTTCCCAATCTATGTAAGATATTATTCCACTTCCATGGTCCCATAGTATCTAGGATAACTGTCAGAAGCATCTATCAAATCACAAATTCTGTTTTACTAAATGAACTGCATACATTAAGGGCATGTTCTTTGAGGCCTTGTATACCATTGCTACCAGTGACTCCTAACTACTTTACTCAAACAGTATTTGTGAAATGACTGAATTAAAAATTGGAAGTAAATTAAATGATTTAAATTAATGAGTGAACACTGACAGCACTTTCTCCAGATCCCTTCATCTCTCCTTTATCATTTCTTTATCATTTTTCCCAGTTCATCTGATTACTCAAATTCTTGTGTATTTTATTACTTTGTAGGACAACAAGTAAGTTATGAGTAGGTAAAAATGAATCAAGCCATAAATATCACCTGGTAAATAGACTTATAATTATTTAAAGCAGAATTATATCAAAGAAGGCTATATGAATTGGAAGTTAAAATCCCAACATATGGTGGCTGCAGATTTTGGAACTGAGATTTAGTATATAAAAATCACTGGCACTTTTTATAACTTCACTCATCAAAAATATCTTTCAGCATCAAGATGGCACAATAAACTTATAAATTAGAAATATAAATAATACTTTGAAAACAGGAGAGCCTTAACCTTAAATTTATTATCAGCTGAATGTAGTTCATCGAATCTTTTTTTCTTATTTTTTCCCAATCAAAAGAGCTCCTCCTCTTGATTCTAAAGCATTGAAATGAAGTGGCTAAAATCATGTTATTTTATGATAATAATTTTACAGCTGCTAAGATGAAGAAGACATTTTAACCTCCCATATCTATTATAAATGACACTGAAATTATCATCCTTAGGTTGAAAGAGAGGGTGAAATATTTGTCACAATATAGTCTCTCCACCCCACCATCTTAAGAAGAATGCTTTGACTAAAATTAGAGAGTGCATGTAGCATTACTTAATTTCAGTCTTTTGCAGAAGGAGGAGAGAATTGGGCCTGAGGAGATAAATAGAGATCAGAACAAAGAGAAGCTAGTCAGTTCATGCTACTCTCTCAACACCCTGGGTGGTAAGCTCACAGTCATGCAAGAAACAGATGCTGGGCTTAAAACTCAATTTAAGGGTTTCTGTGAATTACATTAAAGCTTATATTTTGTTTTACTCATGAAGAAAAAAACATGTTTTCTTTATCAAACAGTAACCTTCTTTTTTATAGATTATTTTACCTGAGGCTTTAATTTCACATTCCATAAGATGTTCAAGTAGCCCTTAAAATGGTGTCAATCCAATTTTAAAGTAATAAATTGATTTACATCTCCCATGAAGAATGTCAGCAGTAGTTAACACATCCTATCTCAAAATTTTTGATATGAAAAATCACAATAGGCTGTGCATCATTTAGTTAAAGGTTCTCTTGTTTTACAGACTAATCTTGGTTTAAGTAATAATAGACAGTAGAATGAGCAAATTATAATAATGGCAAAACCACAGAAAGATGTTTCATTGTCTATAAACAGAATAGCTTGGAATGATTTCATATTACATAGCTATATCTTAAACTTTTAATTGCAGCCTTAAAATGTAGACCAACACACTCTTTGAGTATTACAGTTAATTAAAGGACAAAAGTCATTCATCATCAAGTGTTTCTAAGGGAATCTTTGATGCCATTTTCATATTTCTCTTGTTTACAAAATTATGAATTCCTGGTCATCTAAGGAAATTAACAACCTAGAAGCATTATCACTGTTCTGGTATCTGAGTTCTTATACATATCCTCAAATACTTTAAATAGAAAAGACATTGCAAATGAATATTACATATCTGACATATATAATGCAAAGAATTAGGACATATATTTTGTAATATCATGATGATTTTATAAACATGTCTTGCTCTTAGTGACATAGTGACATAGACTGTCCCTATGTAGGAGAGAATACACACACACACACACACACACACACACACACACACACACACACACACGATAATAAAACGCATTAAATACTATTGCAAAATAGTGAAAAAGGGAGAGGCTTAAGAATATAACTGTATGGGTGAATTTCATGATGTTCATTGTATACATATATAGTAATATCACAATGAAATCCCTTTGTAAAATTTATTTTAATAAAAACTTAATACTGTGGTAGATATATTATTACAGGATTATTTACCATAGCTAAGATATGGAACCAACCCCCAGATGCCCCTTAGTAGATGAATGGATCAAGAAAATGTGATATATATATATATCTATATATATATATGAATTCTATGCCTCCATCAGAAAGAATGATATCACCCCATTTTTTAGGAAATGGAAAGACTTGGAAAAAGTTATATTAAGTGAAGTAAGCCAGTCCCAAAGAAACATAGGTCCCATGGTTTCTCTTATTTGCAATAACTAGTATATGTCTGGGACAAGCTGAAAAGGTCAAAAGCTATGTACATATGACCAGATAAGATGATGTTAAGTGAAATGAACTCCAAGATAGGGACACAAGTAGTTTTTTCTTTCTTGCTATTGTTTCTAATGTATTTATAATGTGCCATGTGATTTTTTTTGTTTCTTTGTATGTTCCTCCCCTGCAGTATAACCCCTGTTTTCACTATCTTTGATGTCAGTGCCCTGCATTTTCTATATACACTTCTCTAATTTGGGGAGGGGAAGGGAAAAAACAAACTGCTTGAATAGGGATAAAGGTTGACCCATTGTAACAATATACAAGACACTATGTTGAAAAACGAACTTTACAATTTAGGGGGGGTTGGGGGGAGTGTAGTTGAGGAGGTGGGAGGGAAGGGATGGTAGGCGAAAAACAAAGGAGGAGGTAACAATGCTTGATAGGAAATGTACTCATTACCTTGCTCATGTAACTGTAACCCCTCTGTACAGTATTTTTACAATAAAACTTACTAAAATTAAAATATATTAAATATTTATTAATGGCTTACTGTTTCCCATTCAAAACATTTCAGTTATATTCCCCAAACTAAGGCACAAAAATGTAGAAGTCAGTAAAACCTTTAAAATCCAAAATAAACATTTTCCTTCAAACTATGAATAATTGCTATAATGAAAAGTCCTTTTGCTAATTTGTGTATAATTTGTTATGTCATTGATGATGGCCAAGCCCCTAGGCCAGACCACGCAAGCATGGAAGGACAGAGACCTTAGAATCTAAACTACCTAATGGATAAAAATGAAATGCCTCCTATTCACAATAATTTGCTTCCTGGGAACAGAGAGATCCCTGAAGAAGTTTTAGTCAAATGCTAAATTACTTTATATCCATGCCTCTACAAGCTTGTCCAAACATGCTGAGAATGGGATGTTTCCTAAGCAAAAACGAACCCAAACTGACAGCATTGAACCGAATCTGTTATTAAGCATGGAGTTTCTTCATTGTACAGTAATTCTTCACTACAAATTTCTAAACCAAAAACTCAATACGCAATAATGAAGGTACTAGGATTTATCCCTTGTCTATATTTTAAACTCTAACAGAATGTTTCTTAAAAAGTTACTAGTGATAGGAAAAGTGGAAACCACTCTGTGTTCTGAATATTGTTTGATAGGCTAAAAGCTAGGAATAAGAATAAACGAATCTGCCAGAATGAAAGTTCCATTGAATTTACCTTGGGCCTTGCTTATTTAGATGGTGCACATAAATAGGCACATAAGCAAGGTGGGGTGGCTCACACTTGTAATCTACTTGAAAAGCAGAGATTGGGAGGATCATGGCTTCAAGCAAGCATTGGTAAAATCTTTGAAAGACCCAAGAAAGCTGGGTGTGGTAGCCTTGAACACCTGCCTCTCAAGAGCAAAGCCCTGAGTACATATCTACTAGCTGCCAGAAAAAAAAAACTCACACAATTAGCTTTATCTGCATAAAATATGATCAGCTGGCTTTAGATTCCATTAGCCTATTTTCACTCTGGTGGAATAATAACCTAAATGCTATTGGCTTTTCTCTGGAGGTCTCATCTGACCCAGGAATCCAGAGTCTTTCTGTTTTGGGGTTCAACACTGAAGTGTGCTTTGTAACTTCCCCCACAATCTGCCCAGAGATATACTTGAACTTTTCATGACATGGATTTGGGAAGGTAATATCCTGTTGTTAGGTTGTTTGTTTGTTTGTTTAATTTGAACTTCAGAAATGTTTGTATCACAATTCAGTTGCAACTTAACTAGCACTATGTGTCAAATACTTCAAACCGGGGGAAAAAAAAAAAAAACTAACTCAGGAGACCTGCATCCCTATGGATCCTTGGACCATGTGTCATGAATGACTTAAACTAGAAAGACAATCAGGATAAACACCCATGTGTTCCTTGTATTAAACTTGGCATTTTTTGGGAAACAAATAGATTTTCAGGCAACAAAAGACAGGAGACCACAGTACAGTGACACCCACCTGTAATCCAAGCACCCAAGAGTTTGAGGTGGGAGTATTGCAAGTTCAAAATCAACCTGGGCTATATATTATGCGACTTACAATTTTTAAAAAATACATTCATACATACACATGAGATCATAACAGTTCATTTTGCTCTTATGTATTTATGTAATTTTTCTAAACTTCAGATGTCTCATGTATAGCAAGGAGGCAGTTGTGGCATTTTTACTTGAGAAGATTAATTACACAGAGAAGGTTCTGGCATGTATTAGACATTAAACAAATAGTGTTATTAGTGAAATAGGATGAAAACAATTTTGATTGCTTTTAAATGTTTATTTTAAATTTTTTTAATTGTCTTGCTTTTAACCAGGGTCCTTTGATCCTATTTATTCCTATGCTTTCCTCTATTTTTGCATGTCTTTTAACCAGTCCGTAGAAAATGATTCATAGCATGCTTCTTCCACAGTACCTTTCTATAGGGTTTTCAGATGGAGATAAATTCTTGTCTCTGGATTAATTTTCAAGCAGTGTCAAAAGATAGAGCCATTTCTAGTTTTACCATCTCTCTAGCATTCAGTTTGTATACTAAGTCCTCACAAAGCTAATTCTTGGCTGACCTCTCACAATCGACAGTTGCGTTTATAAGAACGAGTGGAACAATTTAATACAGTGTTTTCATCCCTCTTTCCCTCCTTCCTTCCTTCCTTTCCTTCCTTCCTTCCTTCCTTCCCTTCCCTTCCCTTCCCTTCCCTTCCCTTCCTTCCTTCCTTCCTTCCTTCCTTCCTTCCTTCCTTCCTTCCTTCCTTCCTTCCTTCCTCCCTCCCTCCCTGCTTCCCTCCATCCCTCCCTCCCTGCCTGCCTGCCTGCCTTCCTGCTTTCCTGCCTGCCTGCCTGCCTTCCCTCCCTCCCTGCCTGCCTGCCTTCCTGCTTTCCTTCCTGCCTTCCTGCCTGCCTGCCTGCCTGCCTGCCCGCCCTCCCTCCCTCCCTCCCTCCCTCCCTCCCTGCTTCCCTCCCTCCCTCCCTCCCTGCCTGCCTGCCTGCCTTCCTGATTTCCTTCCTGCTTTCCTGCCTGCCTGCCTGCCTGCCTTCCTTCCCTCCCTCCCTGCCTGCCTGCCTTCCTGCTTTCCTTCCTGCCTTCCTGCCTGCCTGCCTGCCTGCCTGCCCTCCCTCCCTCCCTCCCTCCCTTCCTTCCTTCCTTCCTTCTTTTTTCTTGTAGTACTAGGATTTGAATCCAGGGCCTTGCACTTGCTGGTAAAAGTGTTCTCTCTACTACTTGAACTACATCTCCAGATTTATTGCTTTGGAAATAGCATATTATTTTTCCTGCCATTTTTTTATTATATTCTCGTGCTTGCAAGCATGGAGAATCAGGTTTTAAAATACTTCTTAGATTTAAATTTCATTTTCTGTTTTATGACTCCACTCTCTTGTATAAAATACAATGAATCGCTTGATGTTCTCAATAATTGTGAATAGCAGAAATGTGTGTGAAATTTAGAGTTACCATTAAACATACACAGTTACTGTTTACATTGATAATGTACATAAATATGATTTTTTGAAAAGTTATTTAGGTTGGGCACTGGTGGCCCACACCTGTAATACTAACCACTCAGGAGGCTGAGATCTGAGGATCATGGTTCAAAGCCATCCGAGACAGGAAAGTCCATGAAACTTTTATCTCCAATAAACTACTCAGAAAAAGCCTGAAGTGGTGTTGTGGTTCAAGTGTTAGAGTTCTAGCCTTGAAGAAAATCTCAAGAAAAGCACCCAGGCCTTCAGATCAAGTTCTAGAACACACACAGACACAGACACAGACACACACACACACACACACACACACACAGAGTTATTAATACCACCTAAATGTTATATATTACAAAATCGCTAATATTAAGTGTCTCTTGCTATTTAGAATTATTTATTTGCTGTGAAATTCTTTAATAATTTTTCTCTATTATTGGCCAAACTGTAAATCATATTTAGTTGTTTTTTCTATTTTAATTTTTTTTATTGTAAAGATACTGTACAGAAGGGTTACAGTTACATGAGTAAGGTAATGAGTACATTTCCTATAGAGCATTTTTACCCCCTCCTTTGTTTTTTGGTTGTTTTTGGTCAGTCATGGGGCTTGAATTCTTGGCCTGGGCACTGTCCTTCAGCTCTTTAGTTCAAGATTAGCTGTCTACCACTTGAGCCGCAGCGCCACTTCCAGTCTTCTGGTGGTTTATTGGAGATAAGAGTCTCATGGACTTTCCTGCCCAGGCTAGCTTTCAACCATGATCCTCAGATCTCTGCCTCTTGAGTAGCTAGGATTACAGGCGTGAGCTACCAGTGCCTGGCTCATATTTAGCTTCACTAACACTTAGCCAGAGACACTTGTCCTCTATTTACTTACTGAGACACTACTCATGTAGTAGCTACCTGGCTCATGTTATGCGCTAGCACAATTTTGTTTTATTTCTCTCAAGCCAGTTACACAATCTTTTATGGAAGCTTTATTCATGCTGTTCCCTCAGACTTCCTCAGACTTCCCTCCATCTTCTGTTCTGTGTTTGGATAAGGTAATTGCTCCTTGACCTTCTCCTATACAAACAGGATTAGATGTTTTGCTTTCTAAGATAATTTCCTACCATTTGGAGCTCGGTTGCATTGTGTTTTGTGTATTGTTCTCTTTTTGCTAACTTGTCTTCTCATTTCTAAGCACTTTTCTGCTTTTAAGCAGAAAGTATGTCCTTCCTGTTAATGTCTTCTCAAGATCCAGCTCAGCATCTAGCCTTTCAGAAATACTTAAGAAATGTTTGGTCTGTGAATGAACACATAAATAAATGTTACTAAAATGTTTGTCCAATCCTAATTATCAGAGCAGTGGGTCCAGGTTCATTTTCAAGCATAAATCACATGTACAGTATGTTCTTGGTGCTAAGATATATAACTCTATCAGGATAATTGTAGTAATTTTACTACTATTACAGGCCTCATCTCATTTCTAAAAAAAAGTTTAGATTGAAACTTGTTTTTAATGCTGTTCCAAAGTTTGTGTGTTATTTTGTTTTCTTGCCATTGTGACAAAAGACATAAGAAAATTGAATTAAAGGAGAGGAGATTTATTTTGGTCCATGGTTTCAGAAGTTTCAGTCTATGGACACTTGGCTCTGTTGTTTGTGGGCCTATATTTAGAGGTAGAAAATTGGCAAGTACATGGCTCACCAAATATTTTCTGTGGCTAAAACTCTGGCTTATACTCTTGGCCTTTTATTTAGAAAATACCTATATAATGAAAACCATAAGAATTACAGAATAAAATTGCATCTATAATCTCCAGAATCTGGTCAAACTTTCTGCTTGTTTTCATGTCATAGACAGAGAAAGAAAAAAAATAAGAGTAGTCATGCAAAGGAGAGGATTCACTCTTCTCACTATTTAATAGAAATGAGAGATAACTTGCTTCTGGAGCTGCTGAACTAAAGATCAAATGCAGAGAGCAGTAGGTATAAAAGTGAGGCTACTGGTCAGTCCCAAAGTGACTTGCAAAAGCAACTTACAATGAACATAGTGTGAAATTTTCCTAGTGGAAAAATATGCAGGGGGTAAAATCAGTCTGGCCATCAGGCTGTTTGTAAAATCCTTTCTGTCTCATTGCTTACATTTCGTTCCTATTATCCCACCTCAGCTTGACTGAATTGTCTATGTATAATTAAACTTAAGACCCCCTATACATACACATAAAGTCTCTCTTGTATCTATTTGTATACTTGTATCAAATCTATTTGTATACTTGAATCAAATATCATCTTCTATACATTAAAAACCTAAATCCTAGGAAAATGCATTCTGTCATTTTGACCAATGTCAAAGACTTACAGTCATTTATCTAATAGTTGAATAATATTAAAAAATTCCTTGCTAAGACTTACAAATAGGCTTCAAACATATATGAAAGTTCTAATACTCAAGAAATACGTTAAAAATAGGAATAATTACCGTGGAATAAAGCTTATAATGTTATTATTTCAATTTCAAGCTGCATATTTTATAGACTTTTCTAGATAATTGTATTTTGATAAATTTGATCTTTGTATTAAATTCATGCAAACAATTTAGGAAGACTTGTTTGTTGAGTTAATCTATTCAGTGAGTCATACTGAATTAATTTCCCTAGCAAGCATTTTCACTGATGCTTTAAATCTATAAACACATTACCATTAGGAATTTTTTAACTGGACGGAACAATTCCATAGCTAATGAGATTTACAATTTAAACTATAACAGGTTTTCACATTAAAAAGGCTAATGTTTCCGCAGATGATAAAGACAACATATGGGTTGAAAATTGTGCACTCCTCTTTGACTCTCAAAAAGATTTTTACATATTTTGGAAGCATTAGTCGAAATTACTCATTTTTGCTTATTAACAAGTTATGCCCTGGAGGCCCAATGGAAATTAAAATACTTGAAGATAAGTCTGTGTGTTCTTTAAGGCCCAGCAATGAACAAACTAGAATTCTTTTTTCCTACCTTAGCAATTACATAGTAGAAAGAGGGTTTTCAATTGCAAAATCATATTTATCCTAGACTATAACACATCAAACGTTTATTCATATTAAAGACATAATTAAGACAGTTACTCATCTAGTAAAGGAACAAAATATGGGGAAAAATTCATGTAGCACAGGGGAATCATGCTTTTGCTATGCATCTCTTTTTAAACCTAGTGACACATTACTACTGAATGTTCTTTAGTTCAACCTGACTTCCTACTAACAAACAACGTGTAATTGAGATGCTCATAGATTGATACTGGGTGAGCATAATCAAGGGTTCTACTTCTGCACATCTCTGGAATTAAAACAAAAGGCACCAAACCTACAATTAGCAGCCGGAGATAACATATAATTTTGCAGAGCCCAATAGCAGTTTTTATGTTGCTGCATTGTGCTTCATATATTGGCCTATTTGCTGTAAACTCTACCCTGGGAAAGCTGAGTTTGTACGTGCTGACTTAAGATGTCATTTTGTGTGACCTCTGAATGTTAGCGACGAAAGCTGCACTGTTGGGGAAACATAGGCACTGTGTTCCCTTTTTACTGTGCGAGATGTTGTCATTTGCTTCTCACAACAGAAATGCCTGTGGGTTGCATCACAGGCAAGACACAGTTTGTCAAACATCCTTAATCAGCAAATGCATCACTGGGTATAGTCATGCTGGAAGCATCTTTTCAAACCCTGTGAATCACGTTATTTAGTGAAGCATTCTGCCAAAGACATCACTGAAATAATTCAATGGAGATAGAAGAACAATGCCATATTAATCAAGAGAATGAACTCCAAAAAATTAAATTTATTTCTGGCACCATACAATGGATAGTAAGTGATTGGTATGTGTAATCCTGTTCAAAAGTAAAGAAATATAAAATAATCAAAATTCTTTTATTAAATTTTCTATACTTCAGTTCAGCTGTGAGAACAGATATGTGTATAGCCAAAAATATAAGCCATAATTTTTAAGAGTACAAATATTCTTATTTCTAGTATGTATAAATAGCTCCTATGAAACTGGATATATGTGGGAATGGCTTACTCCTGTCATGCTTGCTACTTGCTACTTCAGTGACTAAGCTCAGGAAGACCAAGGTTTGAGTCGAGCCTTGGCAGAAAAGTTTAAGGAAGCATCAGATTTATATAAATCTTGGTCATCACAAGGAGTTAACGTACCTATGATTAAAGATACTATATGAGTATGCTGAGTTTATTACAAAAGTAAAGCAACTATCATGGAAATTTGGTTGCTTCTCTGGCATACCCATTTTAACAACAACTGAAAGTGACTGATAACATTGTACTGCTTTTGTCTAATATAAGGCAAATTGGCAGCAAGAAATATGGATAGCAGGGACAATGGCAGATATCTAAAAACTTCATACAATTTTCCAGATTTTTTTTTTTTTTTGGCGTGAGGCTTAGACTCAGGACTTTATGAACTTTTCTGCCTGGGCTGACTTAGAACTGTGATCCTCAGATCTTAGCCTCCTGAATAGCTAGAATTACAGGTATGAGCCAACAGGGCCCAGCTTCCAGGTGTTTCTCTTAGTAACATTATTTCTGTACAAATTTAAACCAGTTGTATCTCACTTGATTCAGTAACACTGCCTATGAAAGACATTACACATCAAGTATTCCTAGCTGTTTCTGACCTCTCTATTTTTATGAAGTAAAAGATCCCTTGTGACTTTCTGGGGGCCCTCTGAAACCTCAAAGTTTGAGGTTGAAATGATATCAGTTAGGATTTCTTTTCTGGAGGAAAAATAACAAACATTGTCATGAGGTTTCAGTGACTGGTTAAATAAAATTATAAGTAACTGTGAAAGTATATTTGGTTAGTTATCTAACCAAATGTATACAAAAAATTTTAAAGTAAACATAGGTGATATGCAACCCACATTCTCAAAAGAATGAACTCTTTGTTCTCTTAATTTTTATAGAATAAATTCTAGTTTTAATTAGTGCATTACATGACACTAAATCTTTTTGAACATTGTCAAGTAAGTAAATCTACATAATCAGCTATATAATCTAATACAATTCCTTTTCTACAAACCTTGTACAAGCTTATGATTCTATTTTCTCTTCTCATCAGGGTTTCTCCTTTTTTATTCTGTAACAACCAATGGTTTTATTTTAGAACAAGGCAGTTTCTTTGTGAATGAGAAACTGTTTTATGTGATTTACATTCTCAATTTTTTTATTCTAAAGTTTTAATGTACTAGAAGATCTGACAGACTGATTTAAAGCTTACATATTACAATAAAACATTGTTAAAATAATGTTTCTTTTGGAGCAGTAGAAGAGGATGAGGGTAGAGAGGAATATAATCTAAGTGCTTTAAATATATGTGTGAAAAGAACATAATGAAACTGATTAAAATTATTAAATGTGGGCTGGAGGCATAGCTCAAGTAGTAAAGCACCAGCCAAGCGAGCAAGCAAGTGGAGCAAGAATGAGGCTCTGAGTTAAATCCCCTGTACCAGCAAAAATAAAAGCAAAAACAATGCAAAGAAACCTGTTAAAACAAGTGGGAAGGAGAGAAGAACATTGAAAAAGAGCAATATATATGGTATAAATTTGATCAAAGCATATTAATATGTTCAGATACCATAATGAGCCTCTTTTGAACAATTTATTCATGCTAATAGAAAATTTCAAAAAGAATAAGTTTAACTAATTTCTTGATAATTTTAGAGCTATAAGCACTTACCTGTAAGTCAATAGAAAGGATCTTGTAATTTAATTTAATGATACCATAGATATTTAGAGTTACCATTGTTCTTATCTCATCTCTGGGAAAATATATGGGAAGACCCTAAGTGGATCATAGAAACTACAATATGTTTATGCACATAACGAAACAAACACAGACACACACATATACAGATAGATAGATAGATAGATAGTGATTTTTTTCTATACAGCTATTATGGGACAAATTCAGATTTAGTAGAGAGAATTCCTTTAAATGGATTATTCCTTTAAATGGACTATTGCACATTAAGAAGGCTATGAAATTCTTTATCCAGAGATATGTGTGTGTGTGTGTGTGTGTGTGTGTGTGTGTGTGTGTGTGTGTGTGTGTGTGTGTGTCAGTCCTGGGGCTTGAAGTCAGGACTTGGGCTCTATCCCTAAACTTTTTTCACTCAAAACTAGTGCTCTACCACTTGAGCCACAGCTCCACTTCCAGCTTTTTGGTAGATGGTTGGAATTGAGAGTCTCATGGACTTTCTTGCTTGGGCTAGCTTTGAACCTTGATCCTCTGATCTCAGCCTCCTTAGCACCTGGGATAACAAGCAGTAGTCACTGGCACCCAGCTATCTGGAGACATGTTATATACATACCATTAACCAAACCAATGATTGGGTAAATATATATAATGTGATGAAGTGATATGTATACATGCTATATTTGTGTGTCATATACATAAATACACATACAATTCCTTATTTTATACTAGAGATTTTAGCCTAATTTCTTTTACATTTCTACTTGGTCATTTTTACTAAGGATATTTTTAATCACTGAAATTGTTTATGGTGTTTCTAGTAAGGGCACAAGCAAAATACACTTGTTTTCCTTTCCAATATTGATTTTGCTTGCTCATTCTTTTTACCCAATTTTATCAGATTGTATGTATTTCTTTGCCTTCTCAAATTAACTATGCATTTATTT